GTTCTTTTCTGTGTCTATCAATCAATGTCTTCTTTTGATCTTTAAAAGTATCCACCAGGAGAGTACTTTCAGTCTCAATATATTCAAGTGATGGATGGACGAAGATAGTTTCATATAAATGTTGTACTGGTTCCTTCCAGTTAGGTTGAGATGAGTTAATAACATTGTCACACTTTATCCTCAGTAGTCTGATGGTTGCATGTGACTGTAACATGTTAGTAACAGCAGGTAGTACCTGTTCATAAAACAATGGTGTCATAATTTGTTCTTTCTCTTTTCTATTACTGCTACTGTAGGTCTGATCTGGTTTGAAGTTCACTTTAAGTTCTGTGAGATTGTTCTTTTGAGAAATGACATTGATAAAAGTTTTTATCTCTCCATTCAGTGGAATGGATACACTAAACTGCTGTAGACTGGTGTTGTGCCTGAGACCAGCTGTTAGGAAGGACAGGAATGAACTGGGAATTGACCTGTATTGGTTATTAATCTCAAGGTATTTCAGTGTTTGGTTTTGTGTTAGCATGTCTTGTAGACTAGTACCCATACTGCTGGTATATACTCTCTCCTCCCATATCTCCACACTCAGAGCTTTAAGTGTAGTATTGGTTTGTAGAATAGTAAATAGTTCAATAGCACTCTCAGCTGTGTCTAGTGGTAAAGTAAGTGTATGTAGACTGGGATGAGAGAGAATTGGAAGATGTGGTGGGTATGGATCATGTAGTATCAGACAGTGTAATCCTTTGATATGTGGAAAGAGTAATGATGTCATCAGTTCACTACTCCTCCATCCTCCCATCTCTAGAGCAGTCAGTGGTGTGTTCACCTCTACTATGTTCAGTGATGATGGTGATGATGGTAGGAGGTTATTAGATGTGTTTAAAAACATTAGAAAAAGAGCTTTTAATGTGTCATTGTCCTTTAGTAACTGCTTTACTACTTCGTCAGGAGGAGGAGAATTAAAAGGAACATCCAGTGTAAATGATGTTATTGTTATATTTCTTGTTACTCCTCTAATGACACTGATAATGGTACTTGTTATTTCATCCTCCCCAATATACTTAATCTTCATTTCTTGTAGCGTTGAATTCATTTCTATACATTTCTCAAGTTCAGTGCACTTGTCTGTGTAGTATGCAATGTTAACTGTTGATATAGTATCATCATTCATTATTAATTGCAGTATCTTCAATTGAGGAAGATTGAGGAACTGTAACAGTGCAAGACAAGGAACGTAATAACCTTCATCTAATTCACAGTAGCACTCCTGAATATTGTATAAAAGTGATGATTGTAATAATTTGTGTATTAATTCATCAGTGGGTTCAAACAACCCTACCTCCAGTCTCTTACACTGGGTCTGTAGTGAGTTATTGGTTAGTCCAGCAGTGAAGACTGATAATGACTGGTTAGATACACTCCCCAGGTGCAAGTGATTCCATGTTGTGTTGGAATTTTCTATACAATAACTGAAACACAACCAGTCAAACAATGATAATGATGCTCTTCCTCCATACAGACACAGTGAGTGGTTGTTGATGAATTGTGCTACTACTTGACATAATGTTGTGTTCTGTGATTCATACAGGATTTGAAGAAGAAGAATGGGAACATTGTCAATTACAGCAGAACTGATATGATCAAATTGTCTAATTTCAGGATTCTGATAAAAGTAGGAGAGATAACAAGTCCTAAATCCAAACAATAGTTCTCTCTTACACTGTAAGTCAAGTTGTTGTTTATTAAAATACTGTTGATAGCTCTCATGTTCAAGGTGAGTTAGACCTGCTACAAACCTCAGACACATTCGAAAGTGATCATCATCAAAGTGATCCTTAAACACTTCCTCTGTCTTCTTCTCATGCTTAGCTATCCACCATGCAGCTAGAAATTCCTGTATACTCAAGTGAAGGAACTGATAATTCTCCTCATCATATTCTGGGAATGTGGTCATCAATCCAAGATAGTCTTCCTTGACTGCCTCACTCAGTGACTGTAGTTGATGTGAAGAGAATGTCATTTTTGTATTAGCCAGGTTAGTATAAGCTAATCGACACATCTCTTGTAAAGGTTTAGCTAATTGTGATGGTAATGAAGAAAGACTACCTAAAGTATGTGGGTTAATGTCATGTCTTTTAACATGTCTTCTGATAGTTTGTAGGATAAAGTTCTCATAGAGTTGAGTGAGTGTTGCTGGTAAGTGTCCAAGTTCCTTACGATAAACTAAGATGACCATGGAACAGACTAGTGGTACATAACACAATGATTGGACATCATTTCGTACTTTAAGATCATTAATGAGTTTCACTGCTAGTTGTGAGTCCTTATCTTTTGGTAATTCAACTTCATCATCACTTATTTCATCACTTTCATCATCACTTTCACTATTGGGAATGCTTTTACTATGCAAGTATAGAATAATTTTTTGTGCTAGTTTTGTATCTTTTTGAAGTGTTTGTATAATTACTGTTGATATTTCTTCCTCAGAAAACCCAATGACCTGAACATGTCTACTGAGAGTATTCATTTTCAAAAGTGAATAGGAGGCATAGCTACGAGAGGTAACAATTACTGAACATTGGTCTAACTCATCTTTACGAATGATACTAGAAGCTAATGAAGACTGTCTGAGTTGTTCACTTAGTTCATCCCAACCATCAAAGATTATCAGTAATCCTTCTCCATTCCTCTTCTCAAACCATTCAGCTACCATGGGAACTTCATAACGTCGACGCACAAACAGGTCAGCTAGTGTAGTAGCTGTAGCTATCTTGCTATTCCTTAATGGACAGTAAAGTACCAAGTCATACTGTTGGTGTACAAGTGGTCCATTAGACCACATGTTTAACAGTTTACAACAGAGTGTTGTCTTGCCAATACCAGGAGGACCATCTATTACTACTCTGAGAGACAGAGAACTACTTGTGGGTTGGAGGACATCTTCAACACTTATCTCTTTGTTTTCAGTTAGTTTAACTGTTTTATCAACTTGTCCTCTTAGCAGATGCCAAGCTGATTTTGCTTGTGTGCTGGAGTCTTGTTTTTCTACTAGTGCTAGTCTTCCAAAGAAATCTTTTCCAATTCTTGGTGGCCAGTCCGTAGCAACAATAGGTTGGTGTTTGTAGTGTTGTCTCATATTGTCAGCATATCCTTGAACATCATCAGGTATTGAACTAATGGATATGACGTTATCAGGTATAGACTGACCTAATGTATTGAGATATAATGACTATATTGATCACTGATAATGTACACATACACACTCACCTAACTGGTGTAATATAGAGGTAGCAATAAATGTTAGTGTACGATGTTGTTGGTTTATTAATACATGACATATATCAATAAGATACTGCTCTGGATTAAGAGAGGATTCCAACTGTCCACATAATACACTCATCAGTTTCATTGCTTTAGTATAATCAGTCATAACTCCCATTACAAGTACATCATTGAAAGCTTGTTGTGGTATCAATCCTTTAGCATGTAACTCAGTTGTTATTTTGTAAAGATTTTGTGAAATTTCATCAGTGAGTTTATCAGAATGAGTCCTTAATGTATCCTTTGGATTACCTGCAGTAATGTATCAGCAGTTAATGAGTGTTGTATTAAGCCTTATATGTTTACCTGTTATAGGACCAGGATTAGCATTACTGGTACTGACTTCCATATCATCATTAATACTTCTTCCAGCTGTGGGATCTGTCACTTTGTTTTCAATAGTTCTAGCTAGTTCATTCTCTTTGCATTGTTTCAAAGCATTAATGACATCTCTCCATGATGCTGTAGGATTAACTTGTAACCATCTCTTATATAATGCCTCCATCCTGAGGTAAGAGCTTTCTTTTGTTTTAATTATATCAGTATCAAGTCGTGTTATTCCAACAGGAAGACAAAGAGCAAATGGTTCCCAATCATCAAGTGGTTCTGCAAGATATTTTACAAACAAGTCACTAGTTGGTTGATCATCAATCATAGGACCAGGATTGAGTTCAACATCTCCTGATAAGAGGAGGAGGAGAAGTAAAACCAAATAGTAGATCAGGTCAGAGCTACTGCCAATAGTAGCTATAAACAAGACTAATGACTGGAGGCAGTGGATCATAACAGTAACAGTAATTATACCTATTGTAAATACACTGTATGATAATATTATATACTGTTAGTTTGTTTACCAATTGGAGGAATAAAATTGAGCTCCATATATCTTAATAAAGATAAAAGAAGAGTAATAATAAGAGACAGAGCTGCTGGAAGTTTAGATGTCTTCTCTCCTGATGTAATACTGCCTGACTTGCTGTCTACTGCAGCTTTGAATGAGTGAGAGTGGCGGCCATTAGCTGGTCTACTGGAGGGAGCTTGACAGTAGTTCCACAGTCCAATACTTGCTCTCCATTGAGAGACATCAATCATCTTGTACTATAGTATGGAGGACAATGAGAGAATTAGGTAACTAAAGTGTAGCTATTTCAGTGATCACTTACACCACAATAAAGAAAGAAGGACAATACAGAAAGGACAATAAAGAAAGAAGGACTTATAATAGAGCTAAAAGGAAAGGAAGAGGAAACTGAGAAATAGAGTAGAAATAGTTCTAACCACAAGCTATAGTAGTAGAATTCCAAAGGGCTGTTGTAGTAAGAGTCATGTGATCGTTATTGTACGAGTGATGAGGCTCCTTTGTGCTCCATTATACACCACTGATAGATCTAGTTCTGTATAGCCTCATGGATTTTATGCTTTGAAATATGATTGACACTTTTATTTTGCCCAATCCACAGAAAATAACAATAACCAGCCCGATCTATAGTAGCTGGTACAAAGATTGAAAGCCACTATGAAGAGTGTTGCTAATGATTATCTCAAATTTCACTGTGTCAAAACTATATACAAGCCACTACTGAACTTTCCAAAGAAGACATACCCACGTGCAAACACGTGGGTAGTCTATCTACTTAATAAAGATGGGTTGGCCCAATATATTTATACAGTAACTTAAAAGTACCGTATTCACAGCAGCAGTGAAGCACATAGCTCTGGGGAAAAGGAATTAAATAAAATGGCCACTAGAGCAGAAGACACTAGCGAGGCAGTAGACACTAAAGAAGCTACCAGTCCTCAATGGACAGTCAAACCAGATGGAGAAATAAATATAAAAGTAAGTGTAGAGATTGTAACTGTAGCCTCTTTATTAAGGACACCATTGGGCCCACACTACCTGTCCTTAATACATGTACAGTGTAGCCTCTTTATTACGGACACCATTGGGCCCACACTACCTGTCCTTAATACATGTACAGTGTAGCTTCTTTATTAAGGACACCATTGGGCCCACACACGTGCTCTTTAATACAGAGGTGTCCTTATTTTAGAGGCACTATTGTATACCAATGGAGACATTAAACAAAATAGAACTATCCTTATAAAGGTGTCATTATTTTTGCCCTTAGAGGTGTCACTCCTCATTTTAAAGCTCTCAATACTCTTGTCCTTATTATAGAGGCTACACTGTATATATTATCCTAATCTCTTGCTGTAGGGTGGTAGCTCTGAAGACGATCCTACTCCAGTTACTATACTAGACACGCTCAATGATATAGTGTCTCAGTATGGAGATAGACCAGCTCTGAAAGTGAAGAGAGGAGGGGAATGGAAGACATGGAAGTATACTCAGTATCATGCTGATGTACAGAGAGTGGCTAAGAGTTGTATTGCTATTGGATTGGAGCCACATTATGGTGTCTCTATTATTGGGTTTAACTCACCTGAATGGGCCATGACTTTCATGGGAACTATAATGGTAAGAGGGAGAGAGAGTTATTTAATTATTCTGGTCATGCTTCTGTGAATAATAATAAAAAAATACTTGAAGCATAAAATACAAACAAAAGCTGAGTGAGCCCCCCCCCCCATTACATAATAACATAATAATAATAACATTGTACATGTTCTTATGTGTGTATCTAGTAATGAATTTGTTATCCTTCATAAGAAACTGCCATTACTATAAAATGCTTACCATTTGTTTATTACAGTAATAGCCTACATGTATAATGCTTACTTGATAGTAGCTAGCTGTCCAAGCTTGCTTGCAAAAGGCATGTACATGTACATTTGTACATGTATATGTAACCATGTATACAGGGCCGCCAATAGGCTATGTGGGGCCCAGGGCAAAAACTTTGATGGGGCCCCTACTAATACAAATCTCCCCCCTTATTAATAACAGCGATTAACAAAATGGCCCAGCAAGAGTTAACTTTAAAAAGTTGTCATGATTCTTTGATCCATACTTTACTACTGACCAGGTGCTTGGGGGCCCCCTATTGATTGGGGGCCCGGGGCAAAATGCCCCACCTGCCCCCCCCCCCTATTGGCAGCCCTGCATGTATATGCCCCTTAATGTTTTACATTCTTCTAGTTATTATTATTATTATTTATTATTATTATTATTATTATTATTATTATTATTATTATTATTATTATTATTATTATTATTCCTACAGTGAGCAAGAGGCTGTTATCATAGAAGGTGCTTATTCTCAGATCACTAACCTAACTCTGGAGCTGGAGCTGGAGAGAGCCAAGAACAGAGAACTAGAGAATCAGATAGCTCAGTTTAATGAGAACCTTGAAGAGACTGTGACCCAACTTGATGAGACTGGGAGACAACTGGATATTGCTACTGCTGATGTAAGAGGAGGGAGAGAGGGAGGGGAGAGGGAGAGAGGGGGAGAGTGAGTGAGGGAAGGAGAAACATACTTGTACTTAAAAAAAGAAATAAAAGATTGATACGCATGCATGTATTGTACACGTACATGTACATGTATGTACCGTATAGCTCCAAATTTTAGTCGGTAAAAATTTTCATCAAATTTGTCAGATATTTTTGTTTGACAAAATTTTTGGTTGATGACAAAAATAACGAAAATTTTATTAACAAAAATTAACAAGAAATTAAGATTATAGTGAATTTTGATAATTTGGTGCTATATGGTATATGTACATGTACAGTACATGCATGTACATGTATACTTACCTATTTTTAAAATTAATTTTTATTTATTTATATTGTATGTATTTTCTTAGTTGCAAGCTAAAGATGATGAGATATTTCAGTTGCACAGACTAATACAAGAGAAGGACCAGACACTACTGGAGATGACCAGCAAAGGTAATGAGAGGCAGAGAGGAGAATAGGATATTTAAATTTTGAGTAACTTTAAAAATTCATAAAAAATCTAATTCTCATTGGAATCAGCTCAAACTTGCTACATAGCATAAGAACATGTATATGTATCAGGAAAAATTATAAAAATTAAGAATTCTCTTCTAGTCATTTTTGGTGAAATTTGGCCAATGACCCTGTACTATAGCCCAGGAACTTTTGCCCGATTTTAGAGTAGCTTTAAAAATTCATAAAAAATCTAATTCTTATTGGAATCAGTTCAAACTTGCTACATAGCATAAGAACATGTATATGTATCAGGAAAAATTATAAAAATTGAGAATTCTCTCATAGTCATTTTTGGTGAAATTTGGTCAATGACCCTGTACTGTAGTACAGGGACTTTTGCCTGATTTTAGAGCAACTTTAAAAATTTGTAAAAAATCTAATTTTGATCGGAATGAGCTCAAACTTGCTATGCAATGTAAAAATATGTATATTTATCAGGAAAAATTATAAAAATTAAATTTTTTTTGCTTTTCGTTTTTGGTGAAATTTGGCCAACGACCCTTACTATAGTATAGGGACTTTGGCCTGATTTTCAAGCAACTTTAAAATCTAA